TTCTATATTTCCAAGTTACTAAGTCGAGATTTCAAAGCCATTTACCCCCTGTTGTACCATCTAAACAGGTGCGACATGAACTTCTTAATTTTTTTTTCTGTACTATCGATAAATTCGAAAACTGGCTCGAAGGTTGGTTTAATGTTGGTCACAAGAGGTCTACCTTTAATCAAATTTACAGGGATAACTTTGCCGAATGGTATGTATGTTGATTATTCCACGTGAATAAACTTTTTCGTAATGATGTATTTGATTTCATTTTTTCTAGGATATCTTGGAGCTTCTTTTCTACTAGCCTGGAAAATATTCGCAACAATCCTGAATATTTAAAGGAAATTTATGAAATGATTGAATCAATAGAAAAACGTAGAAATGTTAAGTTTCGTCAAGGATACAATCCAAATTGTGAATGTATTAAGCTCACCCTAGACTCGGTTGAAGCTATTCCTAGGCCTTTCGTTTTTTATGCTGTACGTATTGTAAAAAATATGACTTAATTTTGATTGGCTAGCTCCATTGATCATCATTACACCTACTGTAAATTTACTTAGAAGTTAAAAGATAATCTTAGTAAATTTTGAACTATTTTCAAAAAAAAAAAAATGTAAATATTTCAAAATTTTACTTAGATAACCATCTTTTGCTTCTAGGCAAAAATGTTTACGTGTAATCATATATTACCGGAAAAAGTAAAACTTTCTGAACAAATCGTGTAACGAAGATTAATGAAATTAACCAATCACATCAATCAAATCGAGACGCGTATCGCAGAGGTGCGATGTATACACTTTTCGTAAAATATATGTAACGTTTTATGTTTTATATAATATTAGACTATCTTCTTATTGAGTTCCACATTCAATATCCTCTTAAAATTTTATGGTTTCGAACATTTTGGCTCAAAAGAAAGTATCTTGAACGGTTACTGGTCAAGTACCTTGGAATTTGATATTCAGGAAGGTTGTCCACCATCAAGAATCAGCTATTGGTATTACGACCCTCATTCTAGCTGCGATTCCTTCCCGCTAAAAAAAAAAAAGGAACGTCAGAAACCAATCGTTTTTATTCATGGTGTTGGTGGTGGTTTATTTTGTTATTTTAAATTCATCAAAAGATTGTGGAAATTGGACCGTCCTTTGTTTTTGGTTGAATTACCTTATGTCTCAATGCAGATGGTTGAAGACGTTCCAACAATGGAGGAAACTGTTCGTGAAATTGAAGAAATGCTTATCTCTCGAAATTATCCAAAAGCTATATTTGTTGCCCATTCATTAGGCACCGCTGTATGTGCTTGGATGGTGAAAGAAGCTAGGAAACGTATTAGTGGTCTAATTTTGATAGACCCAATCATTTTTTTATTACATTACCCAAATGTGGCTTATAATTTCAGGTATCGGATTCAGCGAGCTGCCAATGAGGTATATTGTGCTTCGCGTTTAATCACTTTATATATTTAAGCATTAAATTTTCAAACTTATTCATCAATATTTTTTATTTCCCTAAAATTATTAGCATTTTGTGTCATTTTTCGCGTCACGTGAATTGTACACTTCCTATTATTTCTCTCGACATTTCCATTGCTTTCAATGCGTTCTCTTTATTTCACCGCGAAATAGCCTTCCGCACAACACTTACATTTATATAGCAGAAAAGGATAATATTGTCCCTTCGAAGGAGGTCTACAAATACCTTTCTAAAAATAATGTAAATGTTCACATGATGCACAAATTGGATCACGCGAGTTTCTTGTTTAATACTCATTGGGAAGATCGAATAATTAGCGGCGTTTTGAAATGTTGTAATTCTAGAAGGTCTTGACATGTGATAGCTAGAATAGAATAACAACTAGAGACTATGACGCGCTAATATAATACATGCTTTTTTTAAAATCAGTACTTGTATTAAGTTTCATAGTTTAACTTAATATTTTTATTTCTATTGTTTATTTCTTTACAACAGTGTAAGATGTCTTGTTAGTTTTTAAGCCTATTACTATGATATGAGAAAAGATTTATGGCGATCTACAACTTGCATAGCCAAATTTTAACTTCAGATCAAAACATTAAAGGATCCAACTTAAAAGGATGGATGATTTGATTTATTTAATGCCAAAGGGATATAGTATCGAGGCATGTGAAAAACTTTATAAACATCTGAGTTGCGGTTTGCATATCTCGTATCAACCTTATTCATTACCCGGTTGATTCGGTTCCCAAAACGATGGGAACGAATAGAAATTATCAGATTTTTTCAGTGTTTAAAATCTATATGCGGAATCTGCGGAGCACAGACGAAAGTTTATTCCGCAAGCAAAATTTTCCAGAAATCACACATGTTGTGCATACCTTTCTAAGAATCACTCTATAAGTGCATAATAGCACCAGTCCCAACTACGTAACATTTATAAAACTACACTCTAACATCAGCAAATTGTTTTTTTATAAAATTTATGTAGCTCTATAATTTTTATAAACCCGATGTAGACTTATAATAAGAATTCTTTATAAACTATATACATATATATTATTTATTTTTTGGTGCGCGCGATGCATATCAAAATTTTACTAGGGTAACTCTGTTGTGTAACTAACAAGAAATGATCCTCTCGCAATTTTAACCCTAAGTCCAACCCTAACCCTAACTATTATTAAGTTCAAATTTCACACGGTGCACCCTGCACCAAATAAATATTTTCAAATATAAAATCTGTAAATTTTATTTATATCTATATATAAAAAATATATAATTTACTTTGGCTATTTCTCAAGAGTGACTAAAGAATGCTCGGTATACTATATAAGTAAAGAATGTTCAGCATGCTTGAAAACCTAGTTTAACTTAAAACCTAATTCTAGCTTTAATATACTGTATATATATTTTAAGTTAAAAAAATTTATTGTTATTTTATATAATTATATCAGTGTTGGGCAAATTAGTGGTCAACCAAAAATTTACTGGTCAAATTGGTCTGGTCAAATGGTCGAACTGGGCAAATTGGTCACAATCTATTATATAAATATAATATATATATTGTATAATAAATTACAGTATATTTAAATATACTATTTGACCAATTTGACCAGTACAGATCCTTTGACCAGACCGGTCAAATTGGTCAAATTGGTCTGGTCCAGTGGTCAAACTGGTCTGGTCAAGCCAATACTGAATTATATATATATATATATATATATATACTATATATATATTTTGTATAATTATACTATACATATATGTGTGTAGAAATATGCATTTTATAAAGCTACATAAAAATTTTACATAATTCTATGTAAAAACATATTCGTGATACGAATACACGCTTTTTATATAAATGCACACTTATGATCAGTCTCAAAGGGTGAAGTTTGACTGTTCAAGAAAATGCTTTGAGGGCTACTATTTTATTAGCAAACAAGCATTTTTCTTTAATAATAATAAGTCTTTTTTTTTTTGCGTGGGACGACCCTATATATATACTTTCAGTCGCGAACCCGATTACAAATAAATGAAGTAGTATAAATATTAAACAATACACCAATTAAATATATATATAGTAATAGAGTAGACCAATTATCAATAATAAAGCAATAATAAAATAATGCGATGGATCGAGAAATGAAGTAATAATAAACAAGAAAATAGCAAAGAAAAGTTTACATAGGTATGGCTCATGATTTTCGTAATCCTTCAGGCAGCAAGTCTACCAGAACTTATTAATAAAGTTTTCAAATTCATAAATAAATTCTATAGACAGTGCTGTGATTTGTTAAAGTTAGCATTAACATAGATAGGCAATAACTGATAATTTGGCATGCCATCAAATGGCATGAAAGAATGTCACCCTGGCATACCACAAGAAATTATATAAAAAATTTTTTAACAAATTACGTGAATTAAATAAACTCAAGAATTTTGGCATGCCTATCAGTGATGCATATGACTGTCATGCCAGGTTCCCTTTGTTCATAGACTTGGCACAAATCTACGGACAGCGCTCGCGTTTTCATTCTTTCCAGTGACATTATGAGTCATGCTTCGATAGTAGTATAGTTGACAATTAGTGTGAAATAACCTTTCGATATCTACAATTAAAATGTATTTCTTGTAATTACCTAAAAGCTAAAATTATAGTAAAAGTTATTATGTATCCTCAGCAATATGCAATATTATGGTTTTTAAAACAAAAAAAAAAAAAAGGTACAGAAAAATTTGATGGTATGGGTCTTAATAGCTAGACCGTTAAAATAATTTGATAATAACTTTAAAAATTGGAAATGGTTCAAGATATATTTGATTGTTATATTTACACAATACATCCAAAAAAATGTAATTTTAAAAAATAGTACACCATAGATTGGTGTATGAACTTAGAATTTATCCTCCTGAAATAAAACCGTGCCAAAAGCTCTTTTCGAATTTATTTATTATTATTTTTTTTTTAATTTTAAAATTTTTTTTGCCTTATAGTTGGTTGTCACTTAAAAAGAAAAATAAAAGGTGTAAAATTGGTTTTTTTGACCATAATAAAGGTTATATACACGAATTTACGAAATAATTGTTTGGGGAGATAAGAGAAAATATTAAATATATATACGAATCGAATCGAAAGGAGGAAAAATTAAGAAAAAAAACGATGAAAAATAATTGATGGAGGTAAAAAGCAACATATTTTGGTACCATATCCGCAGCAAAGGGGGTGCGTTTTGTTTTAGAAAGAGACGCCTATTCGGAGCGCTCATATGTGACTACAGATCCCTATACATACCCAAGTTAAATATGAAGAAACGAAAAACCCAAAAAGTAAACGGTAAAAGATGAAAAATCATAAATGAGGATAATAAATCCTCGATTGTAAGTTGAAATGAACACCGATTTCATAACCCCCCTTGCTATTTTCGGAGATGATAAAAACGAAAGTTAAAGAAAACGAGCGACCCAAATCTCAGACACGAAAAAAAGAAAACCGAAAACGTTAGAAAAGTATTTTACTTTTTACGCTCCATTTAAATTGATCTTAAACCATTTACAATTTCTTCAAAAGAAACCACCATAACGCCTTGCTTGGGGAAGATTTCGTCCATTAACACGTTTTGAACCATATCACTTCCATCAAAGCAACAATCTCTCACAACAGTGATACTCATATCTCTGTCAGCAGCAGAACGGGTTGTGGATAGAATTACATCACCCGTTGCAATACCAGATAGGATTATGTGATGGATGTTTCTGGATTCAAGAATCATCTGAAGATCAGTGTTGTAAAATGCATCGGTGCGGCGTTTCTTGAAAATAAAATAAATGTTAACGAATTCATGACTCAGTTTATTTGACACATGAATGCAAAGAAAAGAAGATTTTTTTTTTAGATACATACTTGAATTACAATATCATTCTATATATAAAAAAATGGCAATTCGATTAAAACCACAAATTTATCCCGTAATGACGTAGATATAAAAGTATATTGCACTCACATCTCTTGGTACCATTCCATCAATGAACTCAGCACCTTTAGTACCGTCAACGAGTCTTCCTAAACTTTTCAAGTTTTCAAAATGGCGGTTATTTGGAGAAACTTCGGGATAACCAGGACGGAACTATTCAATAACATATTTTTAGTTTATAAAAGAAGAAATTATGATGTTTACAGATAATTAGTAACTTTTTTATGACTTACATAAAGACCAACAGAGAAGCAGCTGATGTTTTTCTTTTGCTGTGCCTGATGAACGGCGGTAAATAGCTGTTTTGAACGTGTTAAGAATTGATTTAAAGTATTGCTGGTTTGGAACCTGAATTTATGAAAAGGGAATAATTAGATTTATTTGATTTACGTATGTCAAGTCATTCTCCTTACAATATCACAGATTTTCACAAGATTCCACAAGTATCTGGTACTGAACTATTAAAATTTAATGCCGGTTAGGGCACTGGCATTATGTTTTACTAGCACCGTGCCCGGCACTTGTAGAGTGCTAATTATCATTCATATTAATACATACATGCCAATAACATCATTCTGATAATCGCAGAATATAAACCTAAATTTAAAAAAAGTTGATAAGATCAAAGAAGCGCATAAGGCTGACGGATTAAAAAAAAAAATTCACTTGGCACATACGCTGCATTTTCCAGTGGGATATGAGGCGCAATGGTTGTTGATACAGGGTATATCCTAGAAGGAATGTAATGAGGTCCCATTGAGTTTGACGTCGAAGCCCCAAAAATATAAGGAGAGCTAGAAGCAGAACCAATTAGCGCGTTTGTCCCGTTCGTTCTGTTTGACGTAGAAGTTATTGACTGAGATGTTGTGTAGTTGGAGGTGGGTGGCTGATGATCACATAAAAAAGAAAACAGATGATTAACAAAATTGAATTTTTCGTGCGGAACAAAGCAAAGAAATTTGTAAAAGTTGAAAAGATGTGACAATAGAATGCAAGTCACAGAATGACGTCAGTCATTTATATTTTCCACAAATCTCAACTTTTGAAGCACTTACCAAACTCACTGTACTACTATAATTTGAATGTTCAGGTGGAGATAATACCGTCCCAGTGATAGGCACTGATTGAGGTGGAATCTGTAAAGAGACATCCGGAGCACCCGAACTATCGCCACTACGAACTTGATGACGATTTTTGAATTTTGATATCCACCCATTTGAGGCCTGAAACTCATTACGAAGCCCATACATCTGGGCAAATTCGAGTGCTTTCTCTTGGAGCTGACCATCGCTGACGGCATTTCCCTGAGAAATGGTCACCGTCAACCATTGAGCCAAAGCTTCTTCAATTTGTGGAAACTTTGGAGACTTTTGTGTCTTTTGTTTAGCATAGTTTGAGTTTGGGTCTATGGCTAACCATTTATCTCTTTGTTTGAGGATCTTTGTGATCGTACTTCGGTCAAGGCCATATTCTTTGGCGAGGTCTTCGTCCCTGAGTTTCATATTTTCTCTTTTTTTAATGCATATCTCTTGCTTGGTGAGGGCAGTGATTGGAACCCGTTTCTTCTTTTGCTTCTGTTCTTGGGGCATCGGTGAAAAAGTAGACCTGTTCGCAAAAGTCACCTTGAAAACAAACAAATGTATTTTTTTAAAGTCCCTAGATAGTGCAAATGGTGCAAGTTTTATGATGTCACATTTATGCTCAGCCGGTGTCATAATAAATTGATCACAACTCACTTGACCTTGTGATCAGATTAGGCCAATCATCCATTTGTGAATTCTTTTTTCTTATTCAACATAGTTTCGTAATTTTGACCTCGAAAAAATCCCTTTTTTTCGAAGAAATTACTAAAACCAGTCAACAAACATATTCCACAAATGAAAAAAGTCATTGCGTCATTGCATTTTCTTATCGATAATAACATTCTGTCAAACGTGCCAGGAGAACCTCAAATGTTTGTTGCCCAAAGCTCTCTTTCCCAAAACGATTTTTCTTTAAAATTTATAATGTTTAATTTATAGAGGACGATATCGCCCTATTTAACTGTCTGTAATCAATCGACCCAAAAATTTGGCATTTTATTATAACTTTAATTTTTTGGGTTGAAATCTATGTGACAATATGAGAAAATTTAAATGTCACTTGTGACAAAGAATCTTATTCGTCGAAAACAGGAGTGCAACCATCCTTTAATATACAAATCTTTAAAAATTTTTTGCTACGGAACAGTTGTGTGATATATCGATATAATTAAGTTCGCAATAAATGTGATAATGAAATGGTTGATTGGTAATGTGTATTACCGAATATTTAAAATAAGCTGTAGAAGTGCATTGGCGATCTATTTCGGTTAACGTAACCATGTAAAAAAAAAAAAAAAAAAAAATCCTTAATTCCATCAAAGAAAATGACGTTAAAGATTTTCCTTATGCGTAAAGAGAAAGGTCTGCGTACGAATCTTAAAACTTTTTTTTAGATCTGCTGTATCAGTGCTGTATCAGTGCTGTATCACATTAGATGTTAAGTGTATCTCGTATTCCAATATGCATAATGTTTAAGTAAGTTGATCTTTCAACCTAATCTAATTTTAGAAATGTAGGGTTTATAAAAGTAATACAGCTTACATCTATTTATTTATAATTTACTAATTTTAGACTAACTTATTATATTTTTAATTTATAAATAAATTTTTGCTTTATGTCTATAAATATAATGATACGTACTAGGCAAATAAAAACTAGCTACGTACGTAAGAGTCCGAAAAAACCGAAAACTATTATCAGTTACATAATTGTTACGCAGATCACGGTTGGATTCAAATATATCAATAACAACAATATATACTAAGTAAAATTATTTTCTGCATAAAGATGTCTTATGACAAGATGAATATTTACCAACTACAGTACTGTTTTGGTATACTGTACTGTATATGCTTTGTTTTGAATTATTACTTGAATTTTTTTCTTTATAGCTTTTGAAATTAATTATTGCCAAAACTTATAATAAGATTTTTTGTTTTTTTTTATTTTTTGTGTTTTCTATTTATTTAAAATTTTAAAAAGAATAATAATTATATTTATCTGTTAAAAATTTGATCATTTTTTAATAAATTTTATTTTTTATTTTATTTTTTGGGTGTTAAGATAATTTTTTAGTTAGAAGCTTTATTTAGATACATAGAATTTTATTAGTTTATAGATAAGAGTACAACTAGCTATATATGCACTTTTGGTACTTAATTTAAATAGTCTAAATTTCTTTAATTTTCAGTTTAATTTAATTCTGATTTGTAGTATTATTATATTTTTATTACTCCTTATTTAGATTTTTGCTAAGCTAATTTTAGATCTTCAAGTTTTTTTTATTAGTTTTATATGGTTCTAAAAGTCTTATAATAAGTTTGTACTAATTATACTAGTTTGTATTTCTTTATATAATACAGTATATTCATCTAAACTTTTAGTAACCAATGTATAGTTTTGTCTATACTAGAATTAGTACTAATCATTAAATCCTTATTTGTTACTTACTAATACTCTTATACTGTAGGTTTAATATCTAGATTCTAGTACCCACTTCTGATTTTTATTCTTTTACAAATCCTTCATTGGTCTCTCTTTTTGCTACTAGCTATTACTTTAGAAAAGTTGCTTTAGATATTTTAGTTTGTTTTTTTTTAATTCATACTTTCAAAATATATATTCTTTTTCTCTAGCTAGTACTTTTAGCTATTCTTAGCCTATATTGATTAAAGAGTAGGGCTTTCTTCTTTATAGCTTCTAGTTTAGAATCTGGAAAAGTAAAGCCTCTAACCTACTAGTTTTTAAGCTAGTGATTTTGTTGATAATTGCCAAGTTAATCTGTTTATACTAGACTGGTGATAGTTGATGATATCCTTCTACTTAAAAATCTTTGTTACTTGATTTATTAATCTTGAAGTTTGCTTTCAAATTTGGCTTTTTGTAGTATTGTCAAAAACCTTCATTACTTTTATACTTGGGTCTTGCCAAACCAGTTCTGAATCTTCAAGTTCTTATTTGGTTTTATATATTTTTAGATCTTATTATAAGTTTGTGCTACCTATACTAGTTTGTATTACTTTGTATAATTCAAGTGCTATATTGATATTTCTAGAATCTTCTAGTACACAAGATGTATTGATATAACTAGAGTTATAAACTCTAAAACCTAATTTATCAATAAAAATCTATTACTATAATATAAGTATTTTTGTTCAAAATATTGCTAGTGAAATTTGAACTTAGTATCTTAGCAACAACTCAATTACTATCCCTTAAATTGTAACACAGGCAAATTTGCCTGTGTTTTTATTAAAAAGTTTAATTTTTTTAATAAAAACT